AAAGTGTTTTTTTTTTTTTTTTTTTTTATTTTTTGGGCTCAGCTCAAGAATGCTCCTCCATGCACCGAGGGAGAGAAGAGTATGATAGCACAAAGAAAGGTAATCCGAGGGTCCAGAGAAGGGTTTGGATTGATGAGAGGAAAAGTGGGATCCAACGGTTGTGATCGGATCTGGTGCTGCGGTGGTGAAGTCTTGTTGAAGAATCTGCCATTGAAGAAGAAATTAGAGATTTTTGGGTTTGTCCGGCGGGCGGCCAAGGCGAAGTTGCCGCCCGCCGGTGAAGCAAAATTATTAGGTTCTTAACCTTGCTCTGATACCATGTAAGAATTTATGTATTATTGATTGATTTCTGATTGATGTATTTGTGTAGATTACAATTACAAGGATTCCTATTATATAGGAGTGTGTTTGGGAGTAGGTGAAGAGTAGGTGAAGTGGAGGTGGTAGTGGTGTAGTGGGTTAGGTTTAGTGGAGTAGGTGAGGTGGTAGTGGTGGTAGGTTTATGGTAAATTCTAACATAATCTTACTTTGATTAAGCTCATTCAAACTTGCAGGACATAGAGTGGTTAAGATCTTTAACGAGTTTGCCAATTCTAATCAAAGGGATGCTGACTCTTGAGGATGATAAGCTGATAGCTATGTTTAGATGTTTGTATCTTTCTACTTTATAAATAACAGAACCTTCTCACAGAGTTGAAAAATCAAAGGAAGTTTTTATTGTTTTTCAAGATCAATATAAATGATCATAAAACAAAAACCATTAGTTCAAAGACAATTTCTTGTTTTGAGGTTTCTTGATAGAAGGAATCTTTGGATAATATGTTTACTCCAACAAATCCATTTAAAATTTTCTCTGGTTTCATGCTCTGAATAGTTTGGAGATATTTAGGTCTTGTATACCTTTCGTTTTCTACTTCATGTTTACCGTGACAGTCAAAAATTGCTGATGATCTGGTATGCTACTATTGGCAACAATAAAAGTCATGGAAGTAAGGGTTGATGGGATTGTTGTCTTTTATCATGGAGCTTGCCAGCTAGATTATTCTCCAGCCACTATCACTGTTCTGGAAGAGTTAACTTTCAGTTTCGTCTTGTTATACTTGACGCTAGCTAGCCTAATTAAGCCAAGAGATAGAAAAGTAGAATTTATGTTCGATAGAATTCTTCAAATGCATAGCTATGGATTATAACAGTTCAGCAGCATGCTCTATGTAGTTGTTTTTTTTTTTTTTTCCCCTAGAACCTGCAAGAGCTTGAAAGCAAACAATATTGTTCCGTGGTCTTGCAAATTATTTCTTCTATTAGGCATGTTTCTTGTTTTAAAAAAGTGAGCATTATATTGTGGGTTGCAGGTGGTTCGTGCTGTTGGAGGAAAAAATCATGTTCTCTTTGATGGAGGAGTGAGGCGGGGTACTGATATTTCCAAGGTACTCACTTTTGGCATGCAAGCTGTAATGTTAAACTCTGACCATGAATTTTCGAAATTTTCCTATGTATTAGTTTTACGTTGTGCCTTTTTTCAGTGTTTTAGTTGAATATCATGCCATTTTTGTGCACCTCTTTTCTCGAAAGGGTTTAAATGTGTTCCAATGCAAACTCTGATGATATCAAACTGTTCATGTACTTCATCTTTGGGGGCTCGAGTGGAATTTTAGCTTTGTAATCCTCTAATTTTGGTGCTTAAAATATCAGAGACTTTCAGTGCCTTCGAACCAAATTGTTTGTTTCATATTTCACCATGGGAAGTGCTTTAGACTTTTGAATATGTTTCAAGCGAACAATTAAGGTTAAAAAGCAGCAGAGCTTGGTGGTGTACCAGTTTACATGTGGGATATACTGATATAATTTGTGTGATCATTGACGCTAGATATGTCTGCTCTTTTGCTTATTGTCTCTTCTCATTTGTTGATTCCAAATTTGCAAAATATCTATGCTGGTGCAGGTTGGAAGGCCAGTGATCTATGGATTGGCAGCAAAGGGAGAATATGGGGTGCGACGAGTGATTGAAATGCTGAAGGATGAGTTGGAGCTCACCATAGCCCTGTCTGGCTGCCCTACCGTGAACGATATCATCAAAAGTCTTGTGAGGACAGAACTTGACGGACTCAATTGTTGGCTTTAGTTTTCAAATCACGTATTTGAGTCGGTTTCATTATGGATGATTAAGATTAACCATCATGCATTATATTATTTGCTAGAATTCTCTCCATTTTTTCTATTTTGATATTATTTACCGTTTACATGTGTTCATACTTATGTAGTTCTGTGATGATTGTGTTCTTACATTGAGAATGTAAAGAAGTTTTGACAAATACCTAGTTATTTTCTTCTAATTTTCCAGACTCAAAAAGAAAGGAATTTGGCTTTTCTCACTTCATTTTCTTTTGGGATAATTGGTGAAAAATCCACACCCATGGGATCATATGTTATTTGGTCTAAGATTTAATCTTTTCGGGTAATAAGAACATTTTTTTTAATCAGCTTGGGTAATAAAAACATGTTTAATGAAATTATTTGGTGAAAAAGATAAATTATCATTTTCAAGAATATTTTTTTTTCAATTTTACTTCACTGTTGGCCGGTTGTTGGAAAAATCACCGGAGGTGACTGGTGACCAACAGCAGCATGTGGTGGTTGCCGGCAGCGGTGGTGGTGGTGGTGACATAGACAAATAGATAAATTAAGTAAACAATAAATGACACATGAACAAATAAGAGATGATACATGGGCAAAAAGGTAGACAAATAAATAACACTTGAATAAGTGAGGTGGACAGATAGTTGATGTGAATAGATACGTAAAAAATGAACAGAACAGAGTACCTAATATTCACAGTGGACCTATGACCCAAGTATCCTTTTCTTTTTCTACTTTCTCATGCCTTTCCATTTCCAAAGCTAGCAGCTGTGAGTGGAAGATGGAATTTGAATATTCTGTCATTTCTTTTATTTCACAGCAAAACACAACATCATTCTTTGTTTTGCATAGTTCTCTGATGACATGATTGCAATTCCATTCTCAACCTTGGTCATCTCAACGTCTCTATACAGAAATATTAGGCTAAAAACAGTAGTCATTTTACAAAGCTACGACACCATTGTCTTCTTCTCTTATGCAAATACAACCCGAACCAATTGTAAATGAAGGAAATGAAGAACGCCAACACTTGAGTCCCAATTGTAAATGTGCCATCACAAAGGATTCAGCAGTGGCAACATTTGACAAGTATGCCTTCAAGGAGTCTATTACGAAGTCAGAATCATGAACCAATCATGAAATCAATTCCTTCACATTGTCAATTCCAAAGGCAGAGTCATGAGCAATACACAAATGGCAATAATCCTTTAAGAAGGCCTTTGACAGTCATGAACTGTTCAATACAATCCAAAGATCCATATCCATTTGGATCCTGTCCTGGTTCAATGAGTCCACTCCGAAGTCACAATCATGAGCAAAGCATGATTTCTTATCCTTTGAGGAATCCAATTCAAAGGCAAGGTCCTGAACGAAGTGTGAATCCTAATTCTTCAAGGCATGCCCATAAAGGAAACATGAATTTCAGTCCGACCAAGGGTCCATTCCAAAGGCAACTTTGCCGATTCTATGCTCAAGGAAGGTGTCATTATGGAGATCGATGCAAGTACCTGCATGAATATAGAGGGAATCAGAATTATGGCGAAAGAACGGATGAAAGGTGGCCATCTGATCTACGGTATTACTAGCAAAAACTTTTGGACTAAAAATTTGCAGGTTCAAAATGGGTTTCAGCTATCTTGCTGATTTTGTTTTGTTGGAACTATTTGGAAGTGTAGTTTTTTGCAAGTCCTCCATACGTTTGAATCTCTTGGAATTTACCCAAAAGCAAGTTTGAATATTGCTGATTTTGGTCTACATTCAATGTTGAAATTGAGTATTACTTGGAAGGTTTTAGTTGCATTTTGAGTAGGGATTTGATCTTACATTCAAGTAGGAATATAATCGGTTCGGTACGGTCGGTATTTAGAAAAAAATTTCCACTCAATCGATAATGTCGGTTTTATTATTTTGAATACCAACACAGACCTCTTCTCCCATCAAACTGCACCAATGGAAGCTATTCGGTTTGTGGTTTAATCGATTTATAATCTTTCAAATTTAAGCCATTTATTAAATCCATCAATTTAATAAATACTTTACAATTTCTAGATTAACAAAAACACAAACAAAAATAATAATAATTAATACTAAGATTTCAAGAATAGTGAGTTAGAGTTAATAATAAGGGTATCATAACTTAGGTTATAGGAATGATAATGTTAATTCATTGAGATTAATTTATTATATTTATTAATATCATTATATTGTTAAATTTTATATGTATTATAAATATAATATATGTTGAAGCAGTCGGTTTCAGTTTAGTTTGGTGCATAAGGTGCTTAATTCAATACCGAACAGAAAATCGAAAAAATCAAATTAAAAAATCGTATAGACTGACTCTTATTAAAAAAACAGACCAAATATGGCTATTTCGGTCAAGTTCAATTGGTTTGATCAATTTTTTCTATTTTTTTTTACATCCCTACATTTAAGTATAGTTTTTTGCAGTCCTCCTCCATTAGGGCAGGGCAAAGGGTTATCTGAACCACACAATCCGCCCAACCTGAACCGATCCGCATATAAATGGGTTGTTTCGCAGACACAATGCGAGCGGATGCAGTTTGGAATATGACATGATCGCAGGTGCGGGTGCGGGTCTTAGAATTTTATTTTATTTTATTTTTTTTAAAACCTGGACCGTTGTTATTTTATTATTGCATTTTGGATGAATGTAAAAGTTAATGAAGAATTACTTTTAGGTAAGATTAGGATTTTGAATAATTTTATTTTAATTGTATTGTTGGATAGTAGTTAGTGAATGAAATTGTTGATCTAGTTTAGGATTTTGAAAGCTTGTGTTAGTTTATGATTTAATTTAAAAGTTTAGGATTTTGAATGATTTGTTTGTGTTAGGAATTGATTTTGTTGTGTTTTTAATTTTATAAGTTTTAATTCATTAATTATTAATGTTGGACCATTTCAGAAAATGGGGGAAAAATGGTTCAAAATAAATATTTACAAAACAAAAAATAAAAAAAGGCTCCAAAATATATATATATTTTTAAAAATACAATCTGCAAACCACCCGTACATTTGTGAACCCTATCTACACAAACCGCAATCCGCACTGCAGGTAATTACGGGTTCAATTTTTCTCAAACCATATACATACGGACAGATCTAAACTAAATCACAAACCGTCCAAAACCGAACCGCGACTACCCCTATCCTCCATACGTTTGAATCTCTTGGAATTTATCCAAAAGCAAGTTTGAATTTTGCTGATTTTGATCTTACATTCAATGTTGAAGTTGGTGGCATCTTAGTCCTTCATACGTTTGAATCCCTTGGAATTTATCCAAAAGCAAGTTTGAATTTTGCTGATTTTGATCTTACATTCAATGTTGAAGTTGGCTTTTTGTGGCTATCAAATGTCTATATGTGGCATTTTAGTCCTGACCTCAAGAACTATTAAGTGCTCCTAAAGTAAATATGCGGAGTACTTCAGTAGTAAATTTATGTGGTGTTTCTAAGGTAACATGAGATATGTCAATTGATAAATAGTATGAAGAATTACTCGAGTAACACCCAATGAACTATTTTTGTAATTTATTTTTGTATATGTAGCACATATGTTAAAAGTATAAATATAAATAAATATGGAAAAATAAAAGAAAATGGTAAAACAAACACGGTGATAAATAATAGAGATATGTTTTTACCACTATATATTCACCTAATTAATGTTGTAATTAACGTTATGTACATGTGAGACTTATCATATTAAAAAAATAATTTTGTTAACACATTCTCTTCTAACACGGTAAGAACTTCAAAAGTTAGGTACATTTTATATCAAAACAAATGCAAAAAGAATGTACTATAATATTTTAAGAGTAATGTTAAAGATTTTAAAAATTCTATCAAAAGATTTACCAAATGTCACACATGGATGTGAGATCTATACAATGTGGGTCCCATATAGATTCCACACCCATGTGAGATATTTGGTAGAATTTTTAGGGTCTCTAGCATTTTTGATATTTTAAACCTATTGTGACAACCCCAACTCATGATTAACGCTAATTCATGATTAAGACGAAATCCTAAATTAATTACATGAGTGTGTTGCTTCAAATGGATTTTTATCTGTTTGATGTAGAAAGATCTGTTCATGTTTTGATTTCAATTTGCGAATTGAAAGCCTTATCGGCAACCGATTCAGAAATTGACTTGATTTATATGCTAATTAGGATTCGTGAAATTTTATGGTGGGTTTAATTAAAAATTGGTTCGGAACGATTAAATTAGATTAATTTAATGTGGTTTGATTGACTTTGTTACTTACCACTTAGTGAGTCACTTTATTAACCCCACTAATTCAACTTTATGCCTCTTTTCTCCCTAACTTGATGATCAAACATGAGAGAGGGAGAGAGTAGGAAGATTTGGGGCCCTAGACTTGAGTATTGAACTCAAGCAAGAGGAATTGCTAGGAGAAAAAAAGAAATTTTGGAGATTTGATCATCTAGCTCAAGAATTTATCACCTGAGGTCCAAATTGAACATCCAAGGTAAGAAGTCAAGTCCCTAGTCTTGAATTTAAGTTGATTCATCTATGAATTCAAGTGAATTGAACTATGAGATGTAAGAATTAAGCTTAAAAGGTAGGAAGGAAGATTAATCCATGCATGCATGTTCATTTCATTACATTTGGAGCATGTTTGCTAAGAATTCTCTTATGCATGTCATAAATTGAGCTTAATTGTAGGAAATCATAATGTCTTCTACAATTTGCCAAGTTTGATCATGTTTTGAAGTGGTGGAGTTCAAAAGAATTCACGCATGTTATATTCTTGAAACATTCATAAAGTTTAAGTTGAATTTGTGTACAATTGACATCCTTTTGGGCTTTGATTTTATGAAATGGTCTTAAAATCATGATGTGTTGTGAGTTTCTAAGTGTTTTCCAGAATTTTGGCCCAAAAAGATGAGTTTTGGAATGTTGAATGCATGTTTTGAACTTTGGGAGCAAATCTAGAAAACCCAGAATTTTGTTTCCACGCTCGAGCGACCACCTTCATTTTTACACTCCCGTTCGAGCGACAAAAGGTTGGCTCGAGCGTAAATTGCATGCTCTCAGAAGCTTGCGTGCTTGGAAGCACGCTCGAGTTTGGAAGCACGCTCGAGCGATCGTCAAGCAACTATCGAGCAGAGATTGCACGCAACCAGAACTTTTCACTTTTTGCAGACCGCTCAAGCGAAAGAGCGTGTGCTCGAACGACCACTCACATTCGATATGTCCGCTCGAGCGAAGAAAACTACGCTCGAGTGAGACTCCTGTTTTCAGCAAGTTTTAAAAAATATTTTCAAGCACACTTTTGCATCCTCTCTCCATCCTAGGCATTCTTAGGCCATGATTAAGACATCATAATGGGGGTAATGAAGTAGAACCACACCAAAACATGTAGAAAGGACTAAGTTATCAATTCCGGGTGTGTAATTTAGTATGCGTTCGTTCTGTGACTGTATAGGTTTCGCACCTCAAGGAAGCTGAATAGCCTGCTTACAGCCCTGTTATCTGTGAGTAACAATGTTGTAAAGATATGTTTAATCATACTTATTTTCAGATTGATAAATCATATTGCTTTCTGAAATGATACTTTTTATCGATTGAATGATGTTTCTATTTGGAACTGTATTGTGACATCCATAGCGTATTGCGATTGTTATTGCTATAGATATTGTTATCGTTACAGAGATCTCTGTCAGTTCCAAATTTGGGAACTATTGTTATTGTATGATAGCCATTAATTGATTGTTTGGTCTTTAAGACCTAGGGTATTGTTGCTATTGGATGTACCACGTATGACCTATAAGAATATGATTGATTGAATCGATTGAATTGAACGATTGATTGACAAATGATAATGATTGAAGTGTTCTTATGCTAATCGATTGTTTCAAAGGCTGTAAAGGATATCATTCTTAACCTCTTTACACATGTGTTATTCACTGAGCTATAGCTCACAGTTTATTATATATATATATGTAGGTAGCCAAGCACCAGACCAAAGCTAGAGGCACCGACCTAAGCTCATGTTTTGTCAAGCTAGTCATTGTGCCTCATATCGAGGTTCCGAACCTACACGAGCCAAGGCTTTTTGGGTGATACTATCTACCCTTTTGCTAAGAGTAATAAACGCCTAAGACTTTTGATTGTACAGTTTCAATGAGGGGATTAGGTCCCTAACTTGTATGCTATCTTGTACATGTATTTTGGGTATGAGAAAAGTTAGGGATCATAAAAAAAATTTCATGAAAATGATCATGAAAGATTTATGATCCTTAGATTATCTTGATTAGTGTATGGTGCTTTTATTATAAGTGTAATCCAAGGGTCACAAAACTTTCATGATTATTTTCATGAAATGTTTTTCATGATACCTAGCATTGTTATTTTGGTATAAATGGCTATGAATATGGTTATGTACATAAAAGTTATTTCCATTCAGGTCTTCACAGCTCATTGGACAATGTAGATTATCATTGATTTGCTTCCGCCAATTCCGTTATATTGTATTATTGTCGGGATTGTTAAACATGCTTTCGGTAATCACGAATTACTAGCCGGTTACGACACTAAACCTATAGAGGCGGGTTTGGTTCGTGACACCTATTTAACATGTATCTTAAGAACGGAAAACATTATGGTACACGTGTATCATATGAAAATAGCATAATTTCATACTTTTTGAGTCACAACTAATAAAAAAAAAAAAATTTGTTATAACTAAACACAATATGAGATATAACTAAAGATATCATGAGTTATAACTAAAATAATGTCATAATTACAAAAAAAAATATTGATCACAACTAAAGAAGAAAATAATATAACTAAGCATACATATGATACACATTTTTTAAAAGTGTGTATATTAAAAAAATTTCTTAAGAACACACGCTAACAATACCTTTTAAAATATTATAGAACCCATCTTGTTACATCATTGCATGAGAAGGCACATAAAGAATTTTGGTAAAATATTTGGATGAAGTAATTCGTGGGAAATGAGGATAAAAATATTTCTTCCTCATGTTTGATTTATAAATTTAACGAGAAATAATAAAAAATGTCTTCTCACCAAAAAGTGGTAAAATTTAATGAGATACAAACCCATTAATTATGAAATATTTATAATGGCGTGGTATTTTGTAAAGTTAGTAAAAAAACTAATTTTTATTCTTTAATTCATTTTAAGTCACATCATTTCTCATATTTTTTATTCACAAAAAAGATTAAAAAAACTAAAAAGCTTGCTTTTAACTAACTTTTCAAATCACCCAACGTGTGTCAATTGATAATAAGTATTTTAAATCAATTATTAAACAAATTTTTTTTTTCTTATCAGTGACATCACAATATTTTGGATTGTTTTGAGAAATTGATTAAAAATTGATTTTTTGACATTTTTAACTCTTTTTTAAAAAACATGTAAAAAAATAAAAAAATAATATGACATAAAATAAATTAAAAACTAAAAATTAATTTTCAACCATCTTTTTAAAAGAGCCATTTCTCATTCATATTCAAGAAAGGTTCTCATATATTTTCCAGTGGGACCATGCTGTTGCTCATAATACAATGCAACCAAAGCCAATCAATCTGCAAACGACAGTTTCATGCATGGTATGATTCGATACGGTTTGAAGTAAAAATTATAATTAAATTGTGAATAAAGATTTAATAAATAATTAAATCGTATCATTTTAATTTAGAGAAAATTGGTCTAAGGTCTCTCTCCCAATTTTAGTAATAGAAGAGATCCACAATATTATATTATGATATCTAAGGTCCCTCAACTTCCACACCAATATATCACAGAGAAAATTAACTCTCTCAAGTCAATCCTTATTTTTTTTTTGTCTGTCTAAACTCTGTCTCCTTCGCGGAGGCAGATCTTGAGTTGGACCGTGCCATGGGGGCGGTTGGAGGGGCACTTCAAATCCAGGTTGCGGGTGGCACGCTCGTTGAAGCCGACGTCGCGGAGGGGGAGGCGGGCAGAGCCGATGAAAGGCTTAGTGTTGTCTTTGGCATTGGCGTGGACCAAGTCGAGGTGGAAGGTGGAGTCCTGGATAGGAGAGCTGAAAGGGATGATGAGTTTCTGATCCTAGTAGGGATAGATGTCGCCATTGTCGTTGACCCTGGTAGAGCATTTGTTGTTGGGCTCAACCCACACCACGGCGTATGGTTTCAGTCGCCCGTAACGCCAGTTCACATTCTTCAGATCCTTCGTCGACGTCACGTTCACCTCCATTTCGTAACGGCAAGCCATTGGAAAGAAGGGATCGGTGATTGATCCGGATAATTTGTTGAATTACGGGCTGACGATTGCGTCCAAGGGACAAGAAGGTTTGTTGAAAGAGTTTGATGAAGTTTTGGAGCATTATAGTAGCTTTTCGGTACAGAAGGTGTCGAAGAAGGGGAAGAAATTCGGGGTGTTGAATGTAACGGTTGTGAAGGAGATTGTACCGGAGGATTTGGAGTCGGAGAAGAATGAGCTGATGAAGGAGCAGTGTGCTGCGTACTGGACCACGTTGGCGCTGAATGTGGAGGATTATAGTGGGACTGCGGCAAAGCTGATGATTGAAATGGGGCAATGAGGTTTTGAGGAAGAGGATCAAACCCAGTGAAATTTATTGAGACAACTCAGTGAAATTTCAAAAAAACAAACTCAGAGAAATTTGTTTAATTTTCTCTGCCTTTAATTGAGTAAAATTGATGAAGTCATATGTATGTATTTATACTGTTTGTTTGTTTGTTTTGTTTGTTTGGTACACTCAGTGAAATTTACTGAGACAACTCAGTGAAATTTCAATAAAACAAACTCAGAGAAATTTGTTCTTTAGAGAGAAATTCTCTCAGAGGTCTAGAGAAATTCTGGAGAGAAATTTCTCTGGGAAGTCTAGAGAAATTCTCTGGATGAAATTTCTCTGGATCAAATTGAGGGACCTTAGACATTATAAAAACATTTAGTGTCTTTTATGCTATAAAATCTTAATATCAGGGACTCTAAAAAAAATCCCATTAATTTATTAGTTGATTAAAGAATAATTTTAAATAATTATTAAGTATTTACATAATTTACATATAAATATATAATATTAATTAATTTTATGTAATAATTTATATATATATATTATATTAATTTATAACAAATTTAAATCTTTCGTATTTATTTTTATTTTGATATTTTATTAAAGGTTAAAAAACGTAGAGCGTGGCAATTTTAAACATAAATTTTAAATCGCGATTTAAATTCATCTTAATTAGCAGACGGATTAATATTAATCGATACAATTTTAATGGATTAGGTAGTATTTTGTATAGGCCAGTACTGAGAACTACCTCCACTCCACCTCTGCTTTCTGGTGAGCTCTCTCTCTCTCTCTCTCTCTGTTTTTGCAGTGTTTTTACTCTGATTTCAGTCACGATCAGTTCTATTCAATCAACACGTTCAGGTACTAATTTCAATTCCCCCCACAAAATCATGTATTTATTTGTGTAGACATAGCAATTATTTACTTAGAATTCAGTCAAACCAGTGCAGATTTTCCATTGAAATTGTTCAAATTGTTTGCAGATTAGTACCAAGATTAACTTAGTTAATATACTCATCTAATCATCAAACGATCTGCTGTTTTTATATGATTATAAGCGTGTAGTTCAATTCTATTGTATTGGGTCAATTTTTTCTATTTTAATTATTACCTTTTCATTTTCAATTTGAAGCCCTTTTAGTTTGGTACTAATCTCTTTCCCATAAATGGAGACGTTAAACAGATTCATGCTTTTATAGTTGTAGATTTTTTTTAAATTTTTTTTCCTTTTATATATATTTTTGTGAGATTGTTTGAATTGCCAGGTACCGGTTTGTGTAATTCTTTTTATTTTTTTAATTGAACAATTATTTACACATTGCATCGAAATAACATGTTGAAATCTTGTGAGTATTTAATGGTCCAATATAGTATGGGAGCCGCTATTCTCCCTTCATTTTGTTCTAAATACACTCTCTTATTCGCTCCAAATACATTAATACCCTTGAAATTTTGATTTTTTCAGGGAGTTTATTTTGTGTGAAAGTGTATTAATGTAATTATGTATAATAAAAGACAAAGAAGGGAGTGTATTTAGAGCAAAGTGGGGTGGAAATAGCAGCTCCCTATAGTAATCAATTCATTCTAAGGACTTGATATACTTAGGCTTTGTTTGGATCATGATAGGGGTAGGGATTTGGAAAGAGAAAGAAAAGAGTGTGTGAAATGTGGATGAAATATGTATTTGGATTATGGATTTGAAAAGGAAAAAGGAAAATACGAGTGATAATGTGAATGAAATATAGTTATATTTTACCAACCTTTCACATACATTTTCCTTCTCTCTTTCCAAATTCCTACCTAAATTCATGATCCAAATACAGTCTCAAGTAATTATACTAAACCTACAAATGGATGGAAAATTTGGAAATGATGGGAAGGATTTGCAAATTTTGGTAACCATATTGACTCTCGCTCCATTAACACTCTCAAGTATAGTATTTAATTAATTGATTTTTAAATAATTGTACTATGGACTGGGTTACTTATTACTGGAATGTTAGAGTCAGCTAATGGGGGCTGTGTTTTCAGGAAAAATGGCATCAGAACCGGTCAATGTGAATGAGTTCCAGGAACTGGCAAGGCGAGCTCTTCTGAAGATGTACTTTGACTTCTACAATGGGGGAGCTGAGGACCAACACACGCTAAGAGAGAACATGGAAGCGTTCCGTAGAATCACGTTAAGTGTTGTTACACCTCTTATTCTTATTAGCGAACAGGGACACCAACTTACGCCATTTTTTATTTATTTTTTATTTATTTTTGGGATTTTCTCAGTTTTCAGCCAAGAGTTCTTGTAGATGTGAGCAGAATAGATATGTCAACCACTATATTGGGTTACCCAACTTCGGCACCAATCATGATCGCTCCAACTGGATTGCATAAGTTGGCTCATCCTGAAGGTCTAATTTCATTTAGAAGAGCTTTTGAGTGAAATTTATGTGTACTTATGATTTCAGCTTTGAATTTTTTAATTTTTTTAAAAATATTTTTTATCAGGAGAGGTTGCAACAGCCAGAGCAGCTGCTGCATGTAACACCATCATGGTATTGATACTCTCATACTCTAATTCCTTTTTACTTTGCATTGTTGATTGCTGAGCTGTCCCTCATTACAGGCAATGTCCTTTTCGGCTGACTGCACCGTGGAGGAGGTTGCTTCCAGTTGCAATGCCATTCGCTTTTTTCAAACATATGTATTCTACTCTCTTCAGCTCTAATAAACTTAAGTTTCTTCATAGGAATCTTTATCGTTCTTTAGGATTCACAGTTTGGTAATCCTCTGTTCATAGGTATATAAAAGAAGGGATGTAACAGCTGTGTTAGTGCAAAGAGCCGAAAGAAATGGGTTCAAGGCTATTATGCTTACTGTTGATACCCCTAGGCTTGGTCGAAGGGAAGCAGACATTAAAAACAAGTGAAATTTCATTTCCTTCTCTTTCATATAATTTCCGCTACTAATACCTTCAATGTCCTTCACATTAATGAACAATTTTCTCCCTCCAATATTTGGAAATTCACTGATATTTATTATCTATAATTAAATGAACTTTTCCCCATGCATCACGTTAATGATCCAAACACAATCACTTGTTCAGAATGATTGCGCCTCAGCCGAAGAACTTAGAAGGTCTCTTGTCAACTGAAGCAGTTTCGGTGAGTTATTTGTTTCCTAATATATGCATTTAAACATGCTTGCAGACAGTGTATTAGTTTGTTTTTTGTGTGTGTTGTATGATACATGGTTGCATATTTCTGTAATACTAACTGTAACCAGTCTGATACAAGATTTACAACTCTAACATAGATTACCTATTTTGCAGGATAACGGCTCAAAGCTTGCAGCTTTTGCAGCAGAGACGCTTGATCCTTCTCTGTGTTGGAAGGTATAAACCATAGACCAATAGTCTGTGTGTGTTAACTGATAATTTGACTTCACAGTTAACTTTTGTTGAAGGTGTTACTCTTGAGCCAAACATTTCCTTTGCTTAGAAACATCATTTGAAAAGCTGTTTTAATTGTACTGCTATATATATATATGAATATTATTGTAGTAGTTATATGTTTTAGGGACAAATTACGATACTAGTCCCTATGGTTTACGCCTTGTGACAATTTAATCTTTGTAGTTTCAATTGCAACAATTTTACCTTTTAATTTTCCATTTTGCATCTAATTGGTCCAGTTGGTAATGATGGTCAAGATTTTTTGACAGAAGATAGCCCACATGCTCTTCATGTGCCCATTCTTCATAGGCAAAATGGAAAAATGAACAAAAATTTATTACACAGGTGGTCCATGTAGTTTGCCCGTTGTGTCAATTTGGTCCCATTTTTATTAAAAATAGTCTACAGTTATCAATTGGAATTATAGGGGCTACTACAATAATCTGTCTGTGTTTTAGTCATTTGGAACTATATGGACCAAATCGGCATAAAGGTGCCTGTGTTTTAGTCATTTGAGGTCTCTCACAAGGTCACACAGTTGATGGAGCTGAAAGCCACCGCCAAAAATATTTCTGTTGGTGTGGTTGAATACTTAAAATAATTGATTTTTTGGATGGTAAATACAGAAGTCATCAAGGTCATAAATTGATTTCCTTTATGTTAAATCTTATTCAAAACTTTGCAGGACATAGACTGGTTAAGGTCTGTCACTAGTTTGCCAATTCTAGTCAAAGGGGTCCTGACAGCTGAGGATGGTAAGCTCATGACTATGTTTAGATGTTTGTATCTCTCTAATTTTTCTTTTTGACTTTATAAATGAGAGAACCTCTTCACAGGAGCTGAAAAATCAATCAAAGTTTTTTTTTTTTTTTTTCAAAATCAATGTAAGGGCCACAAAACAAAAAACCATTAAATTTGAAGAATTTCTTGTTTTTATGTTTATTTCTAGAAGGAATAGCTATATAGGACCCCTATATTTTTGGATAATATGAGCTTTAGCAAACCCATTTATAATTTTCTTGTTTCATAGGTCTTGAATATTTCTTGTTTTCTACTCATGTTTATTTGTGAGAAACAAAAATTTCTGATGATCTGGTATGCTACTCTTGGCAGCAATAAAAGCTATGGAAATAGGGGTTGCTGGGATTGTTGTCTCTAACCACGGAGCTCGCCAGCTGGATTATTCTCCAGCCACTATCACTGTTCTGGAAGAGGTATCTTTCAATCTCTTCTCTTCATACTTGATGTTGTCCTATGCAGATATGCTAACAAATTGAATTCAAATATATGCCCTTCTATGATTTTATAGTAACAATATCATGTGGGACATGGCGGATTTGCATATAATTTATGTTGGATCTATATTGTGTTTAGAATCCTTCTCCCCTCGTATATTTTCCTAATTTGACTATTTTGCTTTCCCTTTAATTATTGGTAATGTTGTGAAGCATCTATAACACTTGATAACATAAGATATTTGTGGGTTCTCAAGTGCATATCGTGTGTGCACACTGTGGTAACCGGAAAATACTAATACCCTAACTAGTCATGTCTTGGAACATAGTATACTTTTCTTCCAAAGCACTTTTAACTTCTTCTTTTTTCCATATATTTTCCCTTGGTGTTCTTCTTATGATACGAGCATCAAATATAATGAATTAAAATCTTGAAAAGTAGGAGTCTGGCTGCAGAAGATCTGGAAAGTGGGCCATAGCATATCATGGACAACTGAATTTATAGAGAAAATACTTTATGTGCTTTTACATGTTGAATTTGAATATTAGAAAATTCAAAGAAAGTGGGAATGCATTTCAATAGATTATATTTCATTAAACATGTAGTAGTTCTTACTGCAACAGTGCACGTCATTGGGGGTAAGTTTAGGGGTACAGGTCTTGAGCATTTTCCTTTTCCTGGAGGCTGGAACCTATGAGAATTTGAAAACAAGCAATATTGCTGCATGGTCTTGCCAATTTATTTCTGTTAGGCACACTTCTTTTCTTTCTGTTTTTTTGAAGCAAGCATTATATTGTGGGTTGCAGGTGGTTCGTGCTGTTGGAGGAAAAATTCCTGTTCTCATTGATGGAGGAGTGAGGCGTGGTACAGATATTTTCAAGGCATTAGCTCTTGGTGCACAAGCTGTTATGGTAAACTCTGGCCATGTACTTTTGAAATTCTGTGCCTTTTTGTAGTGTGTTTTAGTGGAATGGCATGCAATGTTTTTTGTGCATCAACTTGTTCGGAAGGATTTCAATGCAAACTCCGATGAGGCCAAACTGCTTTTCCGATTCCTAATTTTGTGATTTCATTTATACTGCTGAAGATTGGAAGGCCAGTCCTCTATGGATTAGCAGCAAAGGGTGAATATGGGGTGCGATCAGTCATTGAAATGCTGAAGGATGAGTTGGAGCTCACCATGGCCCTATCCGGCTGCCCTACCGTGAAGGATATCACCAGAAGTCATGTGAGGACAGAGTACGACAGATTCAACTGTAGGCTTTAGTTTAGATAAAGTTCTAAGTTGTTGTCGTTGTTGATGTTATTTATCTTAGATATGCTCATACTGATAACTAAGACCCCTAGTTCTGTGATGATTGGCACTTTAAATACATTTTAGCTTGGGGATTGTATTGTCAAGTTTTATATATTACAAGAACCAAACATGTAATGCTGTGCATATGGAATTTTCTCTCTTCCCAACTAGTTATCAGACAAGAGGCTCTTGGGAGAGAAATTTTGAGTTGGTGAGAAAATCATGAATGTATGTATAGCTTGACAGAAGCACTCTTGCACAGAATACCCAAACCTTTCACAAGAGAGGCCCATAAGCTATGCATGGAATGCAACATTTTATAAGAGAGTGGGTCCCTCATTATGCAGAGAGTCTTTCACAACTGAGTGGGATCCGCACAATGACTGCCCTCTTAAGGAATTGGGTCCTCCCCTTGCATCCCTCCTTGCAGGGTCTTCGGGCCCACTTTTAAGCCTAATTTTGATAATTCGAACCGTTCATGTTTTAAGATTTATTCAGTATATCATACCTGTAAAAAATCAAGTTGATCGGATATCAGAAAACATGTGTTCGGAAAATTGTTTATTAAATTCTTTAATGCTGTGTTTGGTTGGGGGATTTGAGAAAAGATTTGGAAAGAGAAAGAGAAAAGGTGTGTGAAACTATGTGAAATATAGGAATGATTTATTCACATTTCACCTACCTTTTCCATTTCTCTTTCCAAATCCCTCAACAAATCCCCCAACCAAACACAACATAAAAAAATAGTTTTTAGTTCCATTTTTCCGAACACATGCTTTCTGAAATCCGAGCAACTTGATTTTTTACAGGTATGATATACTGAATAAATCTTAAAATATGAACGGTTCGGATTATCAAAATTGGATCTAAAAGTGGACTCAAAGGCCCTGCAAGGAGGGAGCGCAAGGAGAGGATCTTGACTCCCTCTTAAGTGCCCTGCTGTCTTTCCATAGACTCAATCACAATACTGCCCAATCCGTTAAAACAACACCGATTCGCATTAATTCGCACTGCTTTAACCGCTAATCGCAGTTTGAAATATTATTTTTTAATTTCTAATGAAATATTAATGTTAAAATGAGAGTGAGAGAGATTTAAGATATGAAATTTATTACAAATTAGTGATTATATATATAAAACATATTATGTAAAATTATTTTGTGGTATATATCTAAAAAATATTTTACCAATTACTGTTATATATTATGCAAATGTATAATAATTAGTTAGAATATTCTTCAATTCGACAATCCGTCAAAAACTGCTCAAACCGCAATTTGTCAATCCGCTAAGCTGCTATTCGGTTTTTAATTTTACTCTCAAACAGTCCGAACCGCATTGTACACACCCCTAGACTTAGTGTTACTCAACTCGCTGTTTGGTTCAATTAAAATTGTTTTAGGTATGCGTTATAAAGTTTTTTTTTTTGTTTATCATGAAAAGATATGTAAAAAAGTAAAAATATGATGTGAATCACTTAAGTTAATAAGCCAATACGATGGTTTTTTTAGTTCATCTCAAAAGAGACCTTAGTTTATATGCATTGGGCTTGTTTGGAAAAGGCTAAAAAATGGCTTTTTAGGCTAAAATTCACAAAAAGACAAAATAGGCTAAAATAGCCAATAAAACGAAATGTCACATCAAATCCATAATCATTTTACTTTTTCTCTCATAAATATCACATCCAACTATAAAAAAATCTAATCATCTTCCCAAACATAAAAAATTTCGTTTACCAAAATAATCAAAAACTAAAATAGTCTACTAAAATAGCCAACTTTCCAAACAAGGCCATTATAAAAAAAGGGCTTGGGCTCTCTCTAGTTAGGAAACCCAACTGGATGGTGCTCTTGGGCTTCTTTATATCTACCACAGAGGCCGCATCGATAATCTGAACCGTTGAATATGTAGAGTTCATTGATTACTTCATTCCTATAAAAAATTACATTAATCAGATATCGATAGCCACTTGATCGGATCATATTTGTGTTTACAATTTATTTTTAAAATTATATTTACTGTTAACACAAATGTAATCTGATCAAGTGGCTATATAACGTGATTTTTTTATAAGAATGAAGCATTCGACAAGCTCTACACATTGAACGGTTCAGATCATCGACGTAGTCTCCGTGGTGGGCCCACGAAGGTCAACAGCTCTCTCTAATCCAAATCCGATTTGGATTAGAGTGAAGCCTCTCTCATAAAAAAAATAAAGGAAAAAGGTTGAGACCCATTTTTTCTTGACCCCCACCACCCCCTATGTATTGGGATTGTCCAGCTTTTTATTTTTTGTTTTTTTTTTCCCTCCCATCACTCACTGACATGTGTTTGTGGAGTTGTGGGAGTCAAAGAAAAAAAGGGTCTCTGTCATTTCTGAAAAATAAATTATTTGAGCTCAACTTATGTTCTCATTATTAATTGTTTTTTAAAATTTATTTTTAAAATTATATTTACTGTTAACACAAATGTAATCTGATCAAGTGGCTATATAACGTGATTTTTTTATAAGAATGAAGCATTCGACAAGCTCTACACATTGAACGGTTCAGATCATCGACGTAGTCTCCGTGGTGGGCCCACGAAGGCCAACAGCTCTCTCTAATCCAAATCCGATTTGGATTAGAGTGAAGCCTCTCTCATAAAAAAAATAAAGGAAAAAGGTTGAGACCCATTTTTTCTTGACCCCCACCACCCCCTATGTATTGGAATTGTCCAACTTTTTATTTTTTGTTTTTTTTTTCCCTCCCATCACTCACTGACATGTGTTTGTGGAGTTGTGGAGTCAAAGAAAAAAAGGGTCTCTGTCATTTCTGAAAAATAAATTATTTGAGCTCAACTTATGTTCTCATTATTAATTGTTTTTTAAATCAGTTCATTAGATAAATAAGTCACATTTAAACTTATTTTTTAACTATTAAGTTGTTAAATCAATCTTAAACAATTTATTACTATTTGTTTACAATTCTAATTTTGGGCCCTTTCCTATGATAATTGGTGGGCATCTACACTACAATTATCTAATTTGATGAATTTTTTTTATATTTATAATTAATCCCAAATGACAAACATATGAGTAAATTATAGAAACCTCCTTTGAAATTTGAATAAAATACAAATAATTCCATAATTTTGATATAATTACACCAAGCCCATAGAGTAACAACAAAATTAACAGAGCTAATCATCATTACAAAATTCCATTTTTGCCCTTCTATAATAACATGAAAGGGCATTTTCACTTTTTTTCTTTTCTTTTTTTTAACACTTTCCCTCTATTTTTTTTCTCCATAAATTCCGATTCAAATCTAAGATACAAACATAAAAATTTATGTTAAAAAAAGGAAAAAGAAAAAAAAAATACATTTTTTAAGTAGACAATATTCATTTCGCAGTGTTTCTACTTCCAATTCTGATATGCACACATTCAAGTCAGTTTAATCAACTCGTTCAGGTACTAATAACTCCGCACAAACTTATGTATTTATATGTATAAATGACAATTTTTTATTTGGAATCCAGTTGAATAGTGCAGATTTTCCAGTTCAATTTATTTGCTTTGAAGCTATATATTTATGTTTTAGTAGGAAGATTAACTTAGTTAATGCTCGTCTAATCATCAAAATGATGTGCTGCTTTTGTATGTGGAGTTAATCTCCTTTTTATCCATATGCAAACGGGACTTGTTTTTTCAAAATTAATGTAAGCATGGTGTTCAGTTTTATCGAAATCAATCAATTTTTCTCATTTTAATTTGCACTCTGTTTGTTTGGCGAAAAACATTTTATAACGGATAATAAATTCTACGATTTTTTTTTTTTTTTGTTTCAGAATATGTTTTCCGGAACATAAGACGGAGGTGGCAGGACGAAGGTGGAGGTGGTGGCGTGGTGGTGCGGTGGCGGAGGTGGTGATGTCGATAGTGATGGTGGCAGTGATGGTGGTGATGATAGTGTGAGATATTGGTAAAACTTTAGTCCAAAAAATATTTTCTACATTTAAAAGTAAAAGTGGGCTTGTTTTTCGTCAACGATGAAAAATGTTTTCAGTTGAATTTTGTTTTTCGACCCAAACAAACATTTAACTTGATTAATTGGCCCTTGATAGGCCAGATTGGAGAAATGATTTATGTAGTAGTCAACACTAGTTGATTTAGACACAACACGACTTAGTTTAGTTTGGTTTATTGTTTGAATTGTCAGCCAGTCTCTCAAGTTTAACATTGGATTATTTGATAATTAAATTATTGTAATATAGTCTAGGTTACTGGAATGTTAACATTAACTAATGGCTGTAATGGCATCTGAACCAGCCAATGTGAATGAGTTCCAGGAACTGGCAAGGCAAGCCCTTCCTTGTAATTTGAAATCTTACCTTGGGTTTTGTCTGTGTGACTCTTGATAGTTTGATGATTAGAGAGACCTTTTGTGAAAGTGATAATTTGCCTTCTCAAATTGTGCATGTGTATGTATATGGCTGCAAATGTGGTTCGAATCGATGCCAATAATGAAAAGATGAAGATTCCATTGAGGTGGTCATATAAATTTATATTTTTGTAGATTAATAACATTGATCACTCACTTTTGCAGGATAAGGGCTCAAGCCTTGAAGCCTTTGCAACGGGGATGCTCGACGCTTCTCTGTCTTGGAAGGTACAAAGCAATAACCTACATGTTATTGAAAATTTGGTTTCACAGTTAATTTGGACCCAAAAGCACTCGACTCTCATATTTCACTCAATTTTTATATTGGTGTGATCTCATAGTTAAAAATTTTTTAACTTTTAAATAGTAAACACAAAAATCATCAAGGTCATAAGATGACTTCCTTTATGTTAATCTTACTTTGATTAAGCTCATTCAAACTTGCAGGACATAGAGTGGTTAAGATCTTTAACAAGTTTGCCAATTCTAATCAAAGGGGTGCTGACTCCTGAGGGTGATAAGCATGTTTGCATCTTTCTACATTTTCCTTTCTACTTTATAAATAACAGAACCTTCTCACTGAGTTGAAAAATCAAAGGAAGTTTTTATTGTTTTTCAAGATCAATATAAATGATCATAAAACAAAAACCATTAGTTCAAAGACAACTTCTTGTTTTGAGGTTTCTTGATAGAAGGAATCTTTGGATAATATGTTTACTCCAACAAATCCATTTAAAATTTTCTCTGGTTTCATGCTCTGAATAGTTTGGAGATATTTAGGTCTTGAATATCTTTCGTTTTCCTACTTCATGTTTACCGTGACAGTCAAAAATTGCTGATGATCAGGTATGCTACTATTGGCAGCAATAAAAGCCATGGAAGTAAGGGTTGATGGGATTGTTGTCTTTAATCATGGAGCTCGCCAGCTAGATTATTCTCCAGCCACTGTCACTGTTCTGGAAGAGGTAACTTTCAGTTTCTTCTTGTTATACTTGACGTTATCTAGCCTAACTAAGCCAAGAGATAGAAAAATAGAATTTATGTTCAATAGAATTCCTCAAATGCATAGCTATGGATTGTAAGAGTTCAGCAGAATGCTCTATGTAGTTGTTGTTGTTGCTCTCTTTTTTATTCTTCCCCACCCCCTTAGAACTTGAAAGCAAACAATATTGTTCCATGGTCTTGCAAATTACTTCTTCTATTAGGCATGTTTCTTGTTTTGAAAAAGTGAGCATTATATTATGGGTTGCAGGTGGTTCGTGCTGTTGGAGGAAAAATTCATGTTCTCTTTGATGGAGAAGTGAGGCGGGGTACTGATATTTTCAAGGCACTCGCTTTTGGCACGCAAGCTGTAATGGTAAACTCTGACCATGAACTTTGGAAATTTTCCTGTGGATTAGTTTTACGTTGTGCCTTTTTTTAGTGTGTTTTAGTTGAATATCATGCCATTTTTGTGCACCTCTTTCTTGGAAGGGTTTCAATGTGTTTCAATGCAAACTCTGATGATATCAAACTGTTCATGTACTTCATCTTTGGGGGCTCAAGTGGAATTTTAGCTTTGTAATCCTCTAATCTTGGTGCTTAAAATATGAGAGACTTTCAGTGCCTCCGAACCAAATTGTTTGTTTCATATTTCACCATGGGAAGTGCTTTAGACTTTTGAATATGTTTCAAACGAGCAATTAAGGTTGAAAGCAGCAGAGCTTGGTGGTGTGCCAGTTTACATGTGGGATATACTGATATAATTTGTGTGATCATTGACGCTAGATATGTCTGCTCTTTTGCTTATTGTCTCCTCATTTGTTGATTCCAAATTTGCAATATATCTGTGCTGGTGCAGGTTGGAAGGCCAGTGATCTATGGATTGGCAGCAAAGGGAGAATATGGGGTGCGACGAGTGATTGAAATGCTGAAGGATGAGTTGGAGCTCACCATGGCCTTGTCTGGCTACCCTACCGTGAACGATATCATCAGAAGTCTTGTGAGGACAGAACTTGACGGACTCAATTGTTGGCTTTAGTCTTCAAATCAAGTATTTGAGTCGGTTTCATTATGGATGGTTAAGATTAACCATCATGCATTATATTATTTGCTGAAATTCTCTCTCATTTTTTCTATTTTCATATTATTTACCGTTTACATGTGTTCATACTTATGTAGTTCTGTGATGATTGTGTTCTTACATTGAGAATGTAAAGAAGTTCTGACAAATACCTAGTTATTTTCTTCTAATTTTCCCGATTCAAAAAGAAAGGAATTTGACTTTTCTCACTTCATTTTCTTTTGGGATAATTGGTGAAAATTCTACACCCATGGAATCATATATTATTTGGTCTAAGATTTAATCTTTTCAGGTAATAAGAACATTTTTTTTAATCAGCTTGGAGGATAAAAACATGTTTAATGAAATTATTTGGTGAAAAAGATAAATTATTATTTTCAAGGGTATTTTTTTTTCAATTTTACTCCACTGTTGGCCGGATGCTGGAAAAATCACCAGAGGTGACTGGTGACCAACAAAGGCATGTGGTGGCTGCCGGCGGCAGTGGCGGTGGTGGTGACGACATAGACAAATAGATAAATTAAGTAAACAGGTAAATAACACATGAACAAATAAGAGATGATACATAGACAAAAAAAATAGACAAACAAACAAATGACACTTAAAATAAGTAAGGTGAACAGATAGTTGATGTGAATAGATAAGTAAACAATGAACAGATAAACAGAGTACCTAATATTGACAATGGACCTATGACCCAAGTACCCTTTTCTTTTTCTACTTTCTCATGCCTTTCATTTCCAAAACTAGCAGCTGTGAGTGGAAGATGGAATTTGAATATTCTGTCATTTCTTTTATTTCACAGCAAAACACACCACCATTCTTTGTTTTGCATAGTTCTCTGATGACATGATTGCAATTCCATTCTCAACCTCGGTCATCTCAACGTCCCTATACAGAAATATTAGGCTAAAAACAGTAGTCATTTTACAAAGCTACGACACCATTGTCTTCTCTTATGCAAATACAACCCGAACCAAACCATACCTTTATCCAGGTGCCTATCTTACATAAATCAATACCAAAATGAAAAAGAATTATATACATCATTCTACTTAAAACAGCATAGCTAAAAGGTTTCTCTTTTTTTTCTTCTTTTTATTCTTGGCTGGTATGGAAAATCCAATAGCAACCCTAGCAATGGAAATTGACCATCCTCATCAAGGTGCACAGCCAGAAAACAAATCTCCTTTATCACAATTTTATTCTACGGTACAGCACAAGAACTTCTTCGTCAATTCACCTCCATCTGCTCCATCTTCGAAATTTGTACTTTGAACCAGGGCAACTAAAGCATTACCACAAGGAATTGAAGCGACCTTTTCATCTTGAACTATGCATTATTAACAGAGTTACTCTTGTTCACACCTTGAAGCTCCATAGGTGAATTAGTGATACTACCAACTGAGCCTAGGGTCTGTGAGCTCAACTGAGGGCTTGCAGGACAAGCATCTGGATTACCAGTGCTCATGGGATGCATAGTGCCCGAGCTCAGTTGTGGGCTCATTGGAGTTCTCTGGCTCATTTGCTGTGGGCTAGCTTGTTGCAGCTGTTGCTGCTGGGCTTGTTGGTTCATTTGCTGCGGGATACCCATGGTTGATGGTGAGCCCACCTGTTGTGGTGAAACAACAGTTTGCAGTGGTGAGGTTGTTTCTTGCTGCTGTTGTTGCTGCGGGAATTGCTGCTGTTGGAGCTGTTGCATCTGCTGCTGCTGTTGTAACTGCAATGGTTGTTGTTGCTGTTGTTGCAGCTGCTGGTTCATGTACGGATTCATCCCTGGCATCAACTTTGGTGGGCCCATTGGTCCCATTGCTGTTCGCTGCATTTGATTGATGTTAGTAGCCCGCGTTAGAGTGTGCCCATGCATTGACAGACCGGTGGAGCCCAGTTGTTGCATCTGTCTAGCTCCTGAAATTCCACCTATATTCAATTGAGGCCCACCCAACATATTTGGTCTGCTCTGTGCCATCCTAAGCTTTGCTGCCATCATTTGTGCTTGTTGATGCGTTAGTCCCCCAGAACGAAGTTGTTGGCTTATTACATTACTAATATTTGAAGCCTGGCTCAGATTAATCTGGTTCTGACCCACATTACCCATGCCTGAAATTTGGCCCGATGGCGCTGAAATCGCAGTTCCACCTATCCCCCTTGGACCCCCCATACCCATGACATTGCCAAGTCCTCCGAGCCCAACCATATTGTTGCCCATATTTCCCATACCCATTGCTGCTCCAAGTCCCATCATCATTTTCCTCTGCACCTGCGGCTGCTGTGGTTGCTGATGCTGTTGTTGCTGTTGTTGCTGCTGTTGTTGTTGCTGAAACAGCTGAATTTGGTGAGAAGAAGCTTTGTTAACCATAAGATTACCCAGTGGCATGTTTGAATTCTGCCCTACTGAATTCATGTGCGAGAGTGGATTTGCACCAAGCATATGAGATGATCTCTGGAATTGGGGAGGCTGTTGTTGCATCAAGGACTGTTGATTTTGTTGTTGCTGCTGTTGTTGCAATGATGGTTGTTGATCAGGCTGTTGCTGATGCCTACCAGGCATTGAAACCCCAGGCAAGAGTCCTTGAGAGATCTGTAAGGCTTGAGCATTTCCAGGAGGTAACATCCTTGCGTTTGGTAGATTCTGGGTTGGGTTTAGAGATGCATTACCACTATTTATTGGCTTTGCAACTTCATTGGTGGGCTGACCTGGAACTGCATCTGAATATTGCTGCATCTCGACTCCTGTGTTATTCTGAGGGATTCCAAGGGAATTAGATTGATTATTTGAGGCATGATTAATGCGGATTGGTTTTGGTTGGGTATTATCTTCCACGTGATACCCTTCGCGTAACATCTGCATAATCGGATTACATCACTTCATACATAATGCAAAAGGGAGTGAAACTTCAAAATTGTTATTTCTAAATGTCCAAACCAATTTCAAAGAACATACCAGTGTAGTTAATTGCGCTGCGAGTAAGTCCGCGACATGCTGTTGCAAGACAATTAGATATATAAGACAAAGTAATAGAAAATGCATTCTTGTTAAGGCTATCATAATGATAATGCAATGTGAGCATTTGAGTACATATACTTGATGCTTCTGAATAACTTTCAGGCATCCCAAAAGTGTCTGTTCATCCTCTCCCTATCTATGCAACAGACCACCAAAAATGACTAGTAGCAAGTGTACAAGAGGATAGCGACAATAAAAACTAAATTCCTATTTGGACCAAAAGCAAAGTTCATCCAATATAATATGTTTTACAGAAGATTGTAATCCATTGAACGATAAGAGACGAATGATTCTCGGCATGCCATAGGGGCTAGAATGTGGGCCATTAAGAACCTGAGCACTAAACAAGCGTAATGGAGGTGAAGATGCTGAGTACTGGACAGTTATAAATGTGAAGTAAGAAACCAACACATAAAGGAATAACCGAAGGAGTATACAAAAACTTACCAGTTTGGAAAAACTCAAAAATTAACCTTTTTGTAAAAGTGCCTGGTGCAACTTCATGTATAATGTGTGAAAAAGCTGAACTTGCTTGGTAAATAAGCTGTCAAGTTGTTTTTTGTTGTGTAAGGTCCAAAAGGCGCATAACTGTTTTTTAAAAACCTAACAGCTTTTCATAATACCTCATGGGGCATTTTTTCCCCAAATGCAAAAAGCTGGAAGAATGATCCAAAAAAGCACCTAATGGGTAGCTTAAGAAAATCTATCATTTTTCTCCCAAAAAAGCTGATTAAGTTGAATCCAAAAAGTATGCCAAACACCCAAATTCAATTTGTTAAAGCTATAATAAAAAATAAAAGTGAGCTTACAAGATCTTCCAAATGAGCTAAAATGTGTTAAATGAAGGGCGAACTGGAAGCTTTTCAATAAAAAGTAATGGCAACATTTATCAGTTATCACCCAGTAAATTATGGTATTAATGCAAATTAAAGTGGAGCCCTTCAGGGAAGAGAAAACCCCAACAAGACAAGAATAACTCTATCAAAAAACATATACCCATTATCCGATCTAAGATAACTCTTTAACAGGATAGTGCAGTAAAGAAGGAACTGTATAGCTGACTCCAAACAACTCAGATAAGGCAGTATCAAAGCAATTTAAAAGATAAATACACATTTGAATCCAAAGATCTGAAAATTAATATTTGTGCTCTGATATGCATTATAAAGAATTTACACATGTATACAAGGAACTCACAGCATTCGGCAATGTAGGAAGATAATCCTCTGCAGCCAAAAAATCACCAACATCTAAATCTCCATAATGCAATGCTATGGTTCCATCACTTGGTTTTGCTGACATGATCATTCTAGTTCGTATCCTAGGAACAACAGAATAAACATTTCCTGAAAGTTGAAAGTGAAATGGTTAGAAATGGAACAATCAATGACAATATTTAATTATTTGAAATTCAACAAACCTTGAAGTACGCGCTCGTTCTGCACAAATTTCAAGACTCTTGTCTTGCAAGCATTTATACTGCCACCTACAAGTGACTTTGACAAAGGCATTGAACATGTTTCGTCTATGAAATTCTCGCTACTGGAATCATTGGAGAGATGAAGTGATAGCTTTGCAGCAGAAAACGGAGTAGGTTTCCTGATGGGGTGTTCATCCACCTTATTCTTTCTGCAATTAATTTGATGCCTGAAAAAGAAAATTATATAAGCATGTAACAAAAAAAGGTAGGGATTACTATGCTGGTGATCATATAAGTTTTAAGAGTATTAGGGGATGGAAGAAGAAGACATCCATTGTGTGAATCATGCAATAAAATGACAGTCTTCATACTAACCAACCTGAGGATTAATATAGCAATACAAAGGCCCTTTATATAATTCTTCAGGTTCATTGACAAAGGCTAGATAGAAAGTAACAAAAATCATCCAATGAAACAGTAATTAAACATACGCATGTATTTGGGGTACATACAATTGAAAAACCCAGCCCACACTTTTCCTTAAAACCCAGGTATTAAGGAGGGAGAAACTGGAGTCGTGTAACCAGCACATATGGGGCAACTCCAGGCGATATAGGACATATTCCAACACACTCTCCTAAACCACAGCATACAATAGCCGAACAAACGGCACACCAATCACAGGCCCAACCAAGCTTTGATACCAAATTAAAAACCCCCGTACACACTTCGCCTTAAAACCTAGATATTAAAGAGAGAGAAACAGAAACCTTATAACTAGTACAGATGGGGTAACTCCAGGAGATGTGGGACGTATTCCATCACATGCTTACACGTAGGATAAGAGCCAAACACCAAGAAACTTCTGAGAATTGTTTTATTTACCCGTATGAGAGACCGGAATGTGTAAAATTCTAAAATACAATGGTAGTTTGATTGACTAAATACCTTGTAGCAAGCACTTCAAGTTTTGAGAACCTATCAAGCATTATAGGATCAGGCAACGGTTGAGTTCCAACCGGAGGACTGCTTGCATTTAATGGGACGCTCATATTACTAACACTAGCAGGAGACGCAACTCCACTCATTGCTGGGGTCTTTGGGAGGGAGTTTGTTCTCCGTTTAGCTAATTGTGCTTGGTGTTGCCGTGGCATGGAATCATTAGCACTTGAAGTCACAGATGCTGTCCCACCAACTGCTGGAACTGAAGTAACTGCCAATTTCTCCTTTTGTGATAATCCAAGTGCAGATGTTGCAACCGGTCCAAATGGAGGTCCTATTGAACCACTAGAAAATTCTCCAGATTTTGAGGACAAGGGAGATTGAGGCAAACCCCCAGCAGAAACACGGGGACTTTGCACAGATTTTCTTTTTGGGAACTGGTCATCCTTCCTAAAATTGTTGTCAAGAGGCTGACCAAGACCATTCCAGGGAGTTTGAGAGATGTTGGATCTCATGAATGCATGGTGTGGTAACCTCTGCTGTGGTCGGGACTGCTGGAGGTCCATATGATTTCTATCTGCTTCCACCATGTGCATTTCATTTTTATTTTGGTTGAGTTCTTGTTTGTCCAATCTTTCAGTCTCAACAGGCTCTTCCTTCGCGTGTCTCAGTCCCTGCTGTGCCATAGCAAACTGTGTTGCCCCGGCTTCATCATTTAAACCCCCTTCAAACATCTGCTGGGGATACTTTTGCATGCCAGTATTAGCATACTGAATTCCTCTTGCAATTGGTTGCTGCTGCAACAATGTATTTTTCCAGAATGAATCAGGTCCCTGGAAGCTGTCCATATGTGACCCCATATGCTGTTGTTGATTACCATCGGGACCCACAGATATATGCCTAGGTCTCTTATTTAAGGGTGACAGTGGCCCATCTTGATTTTCCCTCTTACCACGAGCAGAAGAAGAGATCATCATGTCCTGCCCAGAAAGAGAAGTTCCCTGTGCATTTGAAACAGGCCCTGACACATGATCCTGCATCATTCCTGGATTTCCTACCCCCATTTGATATTTTGGCTGGTGAGATTCTAAGGACAATGCAGGGATGGAAGCATCTAGTGCAAAACTTTTTCTTGGTAGCACATTGCTAGAACCAACATTCTGAGGGGTAAGATTCTCAAGAACATGCTGTGGTATTACACTGCTAGATATGGGTCCTGCATCTCCCAACCTGCCATTTGAGCTTTCTGGCACTCTATCTATGCAGACCTTTTTCCCATGGATCTTATTGTTAGACGTAACCCCAAATTCTGGCATCTGTCTCAGCCTTTTCCTCCGTAAGCTGCTGCACAGAGCCAAATTTAGCTGCAAATAAAGTCCAAACAGAGTTCAGATATGAGCAATCCTTTCCTCCAGCTGAGTAGAATACATCCAGTTTTAATTTCATTACCTTTGTAGGAACTGGGTTGTCACACAGTCTGTCTAACTTAGGAGAAGGGTCTAGACAAAGTTCTGGTTGCAGGGCTTTCAATATGCGGGACTCCACTTCCTACAGTGAAGAGTGAACACATATTAAAGGCGCCATATCCATTTTACCAGGAAGAGAAAAGCATAACAAACTTACCATGAGATCACCATATGTCCAAGTATTATCTGAGATCAATGGGATATCTTTCACTACATTCTCTAGTGACATCCTAAGGCGAACTTTATTAACAATCGGAGAACCATCCAAAGAAGAAACTGTAAGCCCTGCTTCAGAAGTGAACTTCCGATAATCCCGCACCTGCCATAATTCAAGCATCTTAGATCTAACTTTTTATACCAACCAAGCAATATGAATGATCACAACCTCTATAACATCTAATCTTACATAATCTCTTTAAACTATTTGAGGATGTGGACATGATAGATAATAAAGGCCAGATTTTTAGAGCGAGTTCTGAATTTTATGTAGGCTATAAATATCATCACTTCATACTTTGGCATTATACATAATTCATATTCCCTTTGAGTTAAGAACTTCATGCAAACATCATTATTCATGTACTCTATAAATCTTACTACACCAACTGATGGGCATGAAAGATGCAGCACTGGCAGCAGTAGCAGACAAGATGGTCCTAAGGTGAGAGAACCACATAATTTGTCATCGCAATGTAGCAGCGGCAATGATAGTGCAAATGGGTGGAGGTGGACAGTTGAAGCAAAGGCGGGGACGAGCAAAACTGATGATGGAGAAAGAGCAGGGCCAACAGAGATGCAAAACAAACAGCATGGGTAGTAAACAAGAGGTGTGCCTAGCCATAAGAATTAGTACTTTTCCAAAGAGTTAATGACAATGAAACAACACATTTTTCTTTTTTTTCTGCCAAAATACCGTGTATCCTCAGTACAACAAAGGACAAAGCACACCAAGAATTGGCAATGATTTACGCTTAGAAAAGCATATAAAGTCCTCCCATGGCCATCAATTGTCTATTAGGAATAAATAAATAAGCAGCCCATTCTGTGAAGGAAAACTTTGACAAGCTTCAATATTTTCCATATTTATAAGTACATAGTTGGGAGGGCCTGGCTGCATACATCTTCATTTATATGCACACACCCATATGCCACCATTGATTGTTTTTACCACAGACATATACAAGATGTACATTTTTTTTTTTTTTTTTTGGTAGGTATGAATTGTGTGGCCATATAGAGGGTATCTTCACAGTCTAAAAGATTTAGTTCTAAATTGGATAACTTACCTCACACAGAAGTGTCCCATCAACATACTTGCAGGGTATATCATCCAGAATATCTCCAGGCAATCGGCCAGACTCAATTGCCTCCAAACACATGAATACATAGAGAAGAAAAAAATTAATAACAAAGCAAAATTGTACCAAGGACAAATAAAACACTGGCAGATGCATCCTTCAACAGGGAATGAAATTTTACTGAACTGTCTCCTAATCAGAGAAAATGAAAAGATAAAGTAAAGATTAACCCCAAGGCGTTGGTTGGCCGAACAGTAAAGACTTGACGATAAGATCTAAGGTCTCGACTTCGAGTCACACCAAGAAGCCACTGGAGGGGAGGTTGTTAATTTCAAGGCCTCAGGATTAGTAGAGGTGCACACAAGCTGGCCCAAACACCCGGGGTATCAACAAAAAATAAAATAAAATAAAGTAAATGTTGACTCTGCTGGCAGTATGCAATTGAAACAGTCCACTTATAAATGGGTAACGGCAAGCAGTAAACGCACTTCTATAATAAATTTCAACCTTTGCATTTTAAGTGAATAGCTCCAAAAGCAAAGTTTCCATATAAACCACTAGATAGGAAACCCAAGAGAAGAGCATAAGCAAGAAATGACGAGATGCACACAAGGTGATGTGGACACCCGGTTATAAAAAAAAAAAGATAATGTAAATGTTGACTCTGCTAGCAGTATGCAATCGAAACAGTCCACTTATAAATGGGTAATGACAAACAGTAAACGGATTTCTATAATAAATTTCCACCTTTCCATTTTAAGTGAATAGCTCCAAAAGCAAAGTTTCCTTATCAACCACCAGATAGGCAACCCAAGAGAAGAGCAGAAGCAAGAAATGTCGAGGTGCACACAAGCCGGCTCAGACATCCAATTATTTATTTTTTTTTATTTTTTTTTATTTTTTTTTTTTGATAAATGGCTAAGACACCCATTTATAAATTAATATATAATAAAATATAAATGTTGATTGGCAGTATGCAATTGAAACAGTCCACTTAAAAATGAGTAACGACAAGCAGTAAATGGACTTCTATAATAAATTTCAACCTATCCATTTTAAGTGAATAGCTCCAAAAGCAAAGTTTCCTTATCAACCAACAGATAGGCAACCCAAGAGGAGCACAAGCAAGAAATGTTGAGGTGCACACAAGTTGACCCGAACACTCGGTTATCAAAAAAAATAAAAATAAAATAATAATAATAATAATAATAATAATAATGTATATGTGGACTTTGCTGGCAGTATGCAATGGAAACGTTCACTTATAAATGGGTAACAACAAGCAATAAATGAACTTCTAAAATAAATTCCAACCTTCCCATTTTGAGTGAATAGATATAAAAGCAAAGTTTTCTTATCAACCACCAGATAAAAAATCCAAGAGAAGAGCATAAGCAAGAAATGTCGATGTTATCAAAAAAATAATAAAGATAAAAGTAAATGTTGGCAGTATGCAATTGAAACATTCAACTTATAAATGGGTAATGACAAGTAGTAAACAGACTCTTAGTTGCACGAAACGAGAGTGGGAGCGGAGGAGCGTGGCCACTTAGAAGAATCGTAGGTTGGGAGCGCTTATGTATTATGTTTATCAATAATATTTGTAGTTTATCTATATAAACTTTTTTTTTTATTTTTAATTGACATATATAACATATATTTTTTGGGGCTTTATTCAAATATAATGAAGTTTATTATTTTATTTATTTTTATATTTTTTTTATATAATATGCCTATTTTTTGAAGGGATATTTACTAATAAATCCCATCTCACAAACAAATACTTCAATTAGTTTCAAATTTTTTCTATTGATCTGCTAAGTCCTATTAGTGGAGAATTTCTTTCCGTGTGGTCCTATTTTTTATTTTGATAGTGTTTTGATGGACAACTATACCCTTTTATTAACGTGACAGGAATGATACTCCAATGTGGCAGGTATTAATATGACACTCCAACGATGTGACACTTCAAAAAAATTAAAAACTCCTTAGTGTACTTTTTCTAAATGTGACAACGTTGCGGGTATGATGTGACACTCCAAAATTTTACTCAAAAAATAAAAATAAAAAATCCTTAATGTACTTTTCCCAACAATGTGACACTCCAAAAAAATTAAAAACTCCTTAGTATACTTTTCCTAAATGTAACAATGTGGCGAGTATGATGTGATGTGACACTCAAAAAAAAAAAATACTCCTTAGTGTACTTTTCCCAGATGTAACAACGTAACGGGGTATGATGCGACACTTTAAAAAAATTAAAAATTCATTAATGTACTTTTCTCAAACGTGACAACGTAGCGGGTATAATGTGACACTTAACGGCGTTACGTAACGGTTGCGGCCGCTTTTTAAAACCTTGCATATGACACTCCAACGTAGCGATAAAAAAATTAAAAACTCTTTAATATACTTTTTTCAAATGTGACACTCTAACGTGACGAGTATGATATGACACCAAAAAACTCTTTCGTGTACTTTTTCCAAATGTGACACTCTAATGTGGCGGGCAAATGAGTCATTACACATCTAAAAGGACTAAATGGATCACAAGAAAAAATACGGAACTATATGAATTACAAGTCCAAAATATGAGACTTATTGATCAATCTCCCTTTTTTTAATGGGCTTTGATTGCAATATAATTAGTATCCAATTTTTTTAAAATCAGCAAGCTAAGACCAACTATAGGCCCAATGAAGCCCATTGAACTTTTTACATGAAGCCCATGACCACAAGCTAGGTCAAAATAAAAGAGAAAAAAAAAAAGAAAGATAAATATAGCAAATAAAGTGGGCAGTTGTCGTCTTTTCTCTCTTTGAAGACGTGAAGACTGGTTCCTTCGACTTCTCTCGGTCTCATTTCACTTCATCTTTTTTCGAAAGGTATGTCATCCTCCTCCTCCTCCTCCTCCTCCTCCTACCCATATCTGATTTCGAAAAAAAATCAGATTCTTTTTTTTTTTTCTCCCTCTCAGATCCATATCTTCAGATCTACTTTTTTAAAGAGAAAAAAAAAAAAGAAAGATAAATATAGCAAATAAAGTGGGCAGTTGTCGTCTTTTCTCTCTTTGAAGACGCGAAGACTGGTTCCTTCGACTTCTCTCGGTCTCATTTCACTTCATCTTTTTTCGAAATGTATATCATCCTCCTCCTCCTCCTCCTCCTCCTACCCATATCTGATTTCGAAAAAAAATCAGATTCTTTTTTTTTTTTCTCCCTCTCAGATCCATATCTTCAGATCTACTTTTTTTTATTTATTTATTGCTTCTGGAGTTGTTTGTCCAATCCCATCTTGGATAGAAACACGTTTCTTACACGTTTCTTCCTGAGAATCGCAACATGGATGCACTATTCCTGCAACTAAGAATGGATTTCTATAATAAATTTCAACTTTCCCATTTTTAAGTGAATGACCCCAAATGCAAAGTTTCCTTATCAACCACTAGATAGGCAATCCAAGAGAAGAGCATAAACAAGGAATGCCTACTGCTAGGCTACAAAATATAGAGTTCCCTAGTTTCATTTTATGCTATTATGTTGGGAAAAAAAGGAATGTGAAATAAACCACCCATTGAGAAATTAAAAGTAAAAAATTTATTAACAGATACTCACTGAGAAGAGAGTTTCCGATGTCCTATCATATGGATGTAAACATTTTTGAACATCCTGTAGGGTAGCCTGAAAATTCATAATTGGTATAGAATTAGGCAACATATATGATTAGTACAGGACAGAATATTTTCTTTCAACTGACCTCTGCATAGAGTTTAAAATATATTTATAATAGAACAAACCTCCGAGGATTTTCCGATAGAATATCCATCCGGAAAAAGGTTCAGCATGAAGGAAACTTCGTTCTCTGGAAAAATCAGAAAGAACAAACACACTTAATGCACAAAAGGAAATAGAACTAAATTTGCCACCAAAGATATTGAAACCCCTCAAAAGTTGGGGACAAACCAGAGATTGCAACATCTTCATCCCCTCCAGTGACGTTAACCTGTATCACAAAACAGTTAAAACAATCAAAGAAAGACATATCAAACCAACAACAAGGTTAGTAATTTTTTTTTTTTGTAAGAGTCCAAGCTAGTTCTATTATTATACAACCCAACCCAACCCAACCCAACCCAACCCAACTGCTTATTCAAGGGTTGCAATTCCCCAAATAAACAAAAATCAAAAATCAACAACAGTGATTCTCTAAAGAAAATTTTTAAAAATGATGAAAACACAAAAACAAAAAGAAAAACAAAAAAGAACAATTTTTCAAATATATTATCCACAGACTTCCATAAATCTACACATAAAATTGCTACAAGCTCACATTGCAAAACTTTAAAACGAAGTGAAGAACATAAATATTCTATCTTCGCACAATCAACGAGATAAAACACAAAAAAGAAAATGAATGAATCAATCTTTATTTAACAATCAATCAGTTAATCCAAAATTAACTAGTAAAAAAACCAAATTAACGAAAAATGATAAAAATTTCACTCCCCTGAGAACGTAGAATCAAAATTCCTTACGATCCCAAATCACAAAATGATATAAACATTTAACATCGTGACTTGATTTGACTTTTACAATATTTTCTCAGCATCCAAACAAAAAATTGGGTGAGTGAGCAAAAACTACCTCGAGCTTCCGAGTGGATGCGGAAGTAGTAGATTCATTGTTGCCCAGAATTCGACTGCTTTCCTTGGAACTATCAGCGACATCTTCTTCGACAGTGGTCTCCGATTGAAGCGATTTGAGTCGAAACCTTGTACCGATTTTCGAAACCTTGAATGAGACCCCCATGGCGGTGCCTCAAATTGGGGATTTTTTTTGTTTTTGGTTTTGTTTTTTGAGGTTGGGTTTCAATCGAAGCTGTTAGGTAGTGACATAGAACTCAAGATGGTAGAAATTATCGAGAGATAAAAACCCTAAGGGGGTGATCTTGAGATTTTTATAAGCATTCGACAGACACAAAACTACGCGCACACAGATAGAGAGATAGAGCGACGCTGTGACTTGCGAAGGTTATTTACATTTTTTTTTTTACTTATCAAAAATTGATAGTATTTTTTTATATAGTAATGTTACGGAACGGATATAAAAATCTAAAAATTATTTAAAATTTTATATTAATAGTTTTTATTGATTTTATATGTAAGGGGTTGTTTGGGATGTCCTAAATAAGTGTATTTTTTTACTTTTTATAAAATATGAGTTGGGTTTGAAGTGATGTGATAGAGAGGTGATGTGACTTAGGCCTCGTTTGGCAACCTTCTTTTTTAGCCAAAAAGTCAAAAAGTTACTAAATTAGTCAAAAAGCCAACAACTCATACCAAAAAGTCAAAGATTCTTTTTTCTCTCTACTTTTTGCACATCTTTTCGTAAAAAGTCAAAAAGTCATCACAAACATACTAGTTTTTTTTAACTCATATTTTAGCCAAATAGCCAAAAAGTTACTAAATTAGCCTGTTCCTAAACGATGCCTTAAATAAGATGATGTGACTTAAATAGAATAGTGAATTTTTGACTTTTTAACTTTTTAGATTTTTTTAAAGATGCCAAACTTAGCCTAAATTTTACATTTTATCATTTCAATCTTTACTATATATCAAGGTTTTGAAACCCATATGGGTAAGTGAATTGGAAAAGAGACCAGATGGATGGATCACTGCTTTAACCGTCAGGTTTAATCGAATCAAATCGTGACGTCATAATTATATCATAAATAATTTTCTAAAAATTATAAATTAACAATATAGATATTAAATTTTCAATTTTTTTTAAAAAAAATCTTAAATATTTATAGTGATGTTTTTTCTATATTTAAAAAAAAAAATCTTAAAAATAAGTCATAACACTTCACATACTAACAACAAATAAAAAGGAAAATAATCATAATTATGAATGAGTATCTAAAGCAAGGAAGAGGAAATCAAACAAGTAGTTTATTATGAAGAAAGAAAAAATAGAACTAACACTGTAACACATACCAAAGGCAGATTTGAGGATTATTATTATTTTTTTTTTTTGCTATATATATATTGTACGGTTGTGCCTGCTTCTACTTTTCACAGACGACGCCAATTGTACGGGGGCCAAATATTCGTAACCTCTCGTACTCCTCACATCCAAGCTGCACTTTCCTCCGATCGACCTGCGAACACAACGAAGGTAAGCTACCCGACGGTGCGTTGTCGAAAAATCCCTCCGACGGTCAAGTCAACACACACTCAGAGAAAGAGAAGAACATGTGTTTGTGTTTCTCTCACCAGAAGATGTTCTATCCCCAGCATGGGGAGCGCAGTCACGTTTTTATACTTTCTGCACGCTCCTCTGCGTCCATTTGCCTTTTGACGCATAGACCTGTTCTCTTGTCTCACTTTCCCACGTGTCAGTGCAAATAAAGCTAAACACCACCTAACCAAACTGCCAAACGACGTTGGAGCGAACAGACAGCCCGACGGTGCTGCCCCATCTTCCTTCGACCGTACTACTTCCGAGACAAGCAATGCTCTGAGCCAAGCTCTGTTATGACCGAGCTTATCGACCCTCCGTTATGACCGAGCTCTTGCTTAGTTGGGCTAGTCTGCGGAGGATCTTACCCGTTGATCTCAACGATCAACCACGCGAACTGAGCTCCCAGAGAAATTATCCCGGCCAAATCTGAAATGGGCTTTAACCAAGCGCACTGCCCCTAGATTGGCCCAACCCAGCTCTGCCCAAATATGCTCGGACCAACTTTAGCTTAGTCATCACCACGGCCTAGAACCAAATTATGAAATCTCCCTCTCAATTGCCCCTTAATTCCGTCCGCGCTAGCGTGACTGGGATTACATGCTCCGGCCGGCGTCATTCCTTTGCCCAGCCTTACACCGCAAGACATTCACCGCGCTAAGTCCCACGCTCGGTCTCTTGACTTGCTCGGTCGGCGCCTCGACCTACCAACCTGTCTTTTCAGTACTAACGCCACCGTCATTATAGACGCGTGTCGTCCATTCATTGGCCTCGACCAGCCAACCCAGCCGCCTCCCGCTGCCTCTCCACATTTAAATTTTGGCGCTTCTTATCCCTTCTTATACCCGTCGCCCTTTCTTTCATTCTCCTTCCTGTTCTGTTTATCTTCAGTTTCAAAACCACCCTGCGAACAAGACATTTCGCCCTCACCTATTCTACTGAGATCAGAGCATCCCTGCGAGCCCATTTTACACCTTCCATTACTTCGAGCCACCGTCCGTGCCCTATCCTATAAGTCCTCAACCCATCTTTGCTCTTCATTTGCTACTCATATTTTCATTGTATAACTAGGTCTGTGATTGTCATAGTTGAGTCCAGGGCATAATGACAGTAAGTGTTAGGACTTCAAATGGAGTTAGTTTAGGATGTGACCCCAAAAACCACCTTTGCCCCTTCTCCCTCAACTGTTCATCATCTTCTGTAATGAACACGCGAGGATCTGGGACTGACCGGGCTCCAGGTCTTCATTGGATCCCAAACCATAACATAACTGAGCAAGTTACAAGTTTGTAAGACTTGGGTGGGAACCGAGCTAATAGAATGCGAGGCTACTCGATAAGGCTAATATCTAGTCCGCTTGAGCGACTGAGCTACCGAGTAAACCCATTGCGACAGAGGTGATGTCGCACTTTCAGTGTCCAGGCTAAAGGCGAGCTCATTTGCGCGACTGCGCTATTACTTACACTTGTCTTTTACTGTAGAGTCCTAGGAGACCAAACACCAACACCAGGGCTTTCAAAGGCCGAGCAGTCATCGCACGAAACTCTGCCAAACCAACATCGCCATGCTGAAACCAGCCGACTTCACATAGGGCGTTACCGCTTTCTCGTTAACACGCCAAGCACACTAGCCGTGTTCCGGGAGAAGTATAGCATCCCTGCAGGCGTCCACCTTGAGCTCGATATAGAAGACACCACCCCTTAGGGTAAATTGGATCAATGCCCTTTCACCGTGCTGTCTATAATTAAGGGAGGTTTACGTTTCCTGGCTCAGCCTCTAATGTGTGAGTTCCTGAGGCGTACCGACCTAGCGCCAACACAAGTTTCAATAAACACTTTCAGAATAATAAACGAGGTAGCCGAGCTGAACAATCGGCTTGGCCTGAACCTAGGATTGGCCGAGATTTTGCGCCAATACACCATCGGGCATACAGCCGATGGGTTTAACTACTATTTGAAGATTAGACCAGGCAAGGAAAAGCTGGTAACCGGCACCCCAGATAAAGATATGCACGATGATGACTTCTTTTGGGTATCTGGGAATTATGAGACGGTTGATGTGCCCGGCTGGTACATCAGCAAGAACTTCGGTTCGACATGTAAGTCATGCTCACTGACCGATCAAATTACTTTCCTTTACTATTTTGTACTAATCGCTCTTTTCTTTGCAGCTATTGAAGCCTTGCAAGCGAATTACTTCAACCCAAACGAGGCCGCCATCAGAGCCGCGCTGTGGTATCGTCACCGAGATTGCCATGACCTTCTCGGTTACGTACCGAGCTATCGATACACGGCTCCTTGCAGAAGTAGAGTCACAGACTTTCTACGAGCACCATCCCCACCGCCTGATCCAACACTTCCGGACGTGTCCCTAATTCGGCTAACCGAGGAAGAGAAAATGGCCAAACGGAGCCGTATCAAGAATCTCATCACCGCCACATCCACCGAGTTGCTGAGCATCCCCCCCCCCCCGCCTCTACTGCAGGTCGAACATCTGGGACTGTGATTGCACTGGCGTCGACCACTGCGGCGCAAGCCAGCAAGGAAAGTCGCCGAGTCGGAAAAAGGCCTCGATCTACCGATCCAATAGTCGAGCTTGTAGCCAAGTTGAGCACCAAGCAACCGGCGGAGGAATCTGAGCCAACGCCCCCATGGCAGCCACAGCTGAAGCACCGGGGTAAGGAGATCCTGGCCACCGCCTCAGTCAAGGGCGATAAAGAACACCTCATGGTCTTTGATCTGACAAAGGCATTGTTTCTGCCGAGCGACGTAACTGGCAGTGACCACGTACCCGACACCTAGCTCGTGAAGTCCTCGGTTAAATCTATGATCAGGGTAAGAGCTCTGCACGTTTACTCAAATTTGTTCTAGTGTTTTCACAGTTAATCTTCTAATTTGAACTCTAACACGTCCTCTTACAGGCCATCCAGAAACAACATCTCGTGATGGACCGGATTTATAAACTCCGGCAAAAGGTGACCGATGCCACCAATCAAGTCAAGCATCTAAAAATTGAGCTGGAGAGGTCTAAGGCTTCATTGGCGATGGCTAACGCAAACAACACCAAATTGCTCGGCCAACTTGGATCCACCGAGAAGGAAAGAGACACTTTTCGGGCCGAGCTAGAAGTGTTAAAGCAATCTAGGAAAGATGAAGTAGACGCGGTGAACAATCTCGGTTTCAAGGAGGCTGAAGACAGCTATACCAAGCAGATCGAGGCCACCAAGGGCATATTCTTTAAGTCCGTTTGGAAGGCTGCTTATGAACAGCTCGGCCAATGACCTGGAGTCGAGGTGTTTTCCTCTCCCCCCGCTGCCTTCTTGCCGGCCTACATGGTGCCGTACGCAAACGAAGTATTTAATGCGTTGCAAAAGGAGGCTGAGGAAAAGGTCGGGCATGTCACCGGGGAGGATGCCGAGGAAGAAGGCCGCCCAAAGGAGACCGGCGTCAGAGAAATTCCCTCCACAGTTGATCTGGAGGCTATCGCAGAAGGGGCCGGGGACGATTTCGCTAATCTCTCCCACTTGGTTTAGTCGAAGTAGTTGCTATTTTTTTTTTTTTTTATATGTAACTGGGCTACCTGCCCCACCATATGTACTACATTTCTCCATCAATGAAAAGTTGGCATTTCACTTATATTTCTGCTAATGCCTGTTGTTGTTCATCTTGCAACCGCACTATTCTTGACCGGCATGTTACAGACTGACAGAGCCGAGAAAGTTACCTCGATCTTAAAAAATGAAATCTTCTAGGCGTTGTGTAAACAAAGTTATCAATGCATGTAACCGAGATAAACATCTTGGTTAACA